AGAGCTCAACCTGGCTCACAACAACCTTACCTTTTTGCCCCATGATCTCTTCACGCCTTTACACCACCTGCAGCGAGTGCATTTGCATCACAATCCCTGGAACTGCAACTGTGACATTCTTTGGCTGAGCTGGTGGCTGAGAGAGACCGTACCTACGAACACCAGCTGCTGCGCCCGCTGCAATTCCCCTCCCAGCCTCAAGGGGCGCTACATCGGTGAGCTAGACCAGAGCTACTTTCAGTGCTACGCGCCTGTTATCATTGAGCCACCTGCCGACCTCAATTTGACTGAAGGAATGGCAGCAGAGCTAAAATGTCGGACAAACTCAGTGACCTCGGTCAGCTGGCTAACACCAAATGGCTCCATAATAACACATGGGGCTCTCAAGATGCGCATCTCCGTCCAAAACGACGGAACATTAAACTTCACCAACGTCACCATACAGGACACAGGAACCTACACTTGCATCGTAAGCAACACGCTAGGCAACATTTCAGCCTCTGCTGTCCTCAACGTGACGTCCGTTGACAACAGTGGCTTTAGTTACTTCACTACGATCACCGTAGAGACAACTGAAACCGCTATCGATGGGGAGAGTAGGACACCAGTGCAGCCTTCTTTCGGCTGGGCGTCCTCTTCAACCACAAGGGGAACACCTATTGCCACAGAAAGAGCGTACACCATTCCTGTGACTGACATAGACATTGATGGGGCTCTCAATGGTTTGGAGGAGGTGATGAAAACCACCAAGATCATCATTGGCTGCTTTGTGGCCATCACACTCATGGCTGCTGTCATGCTCATAATTTTCTACAAGATGCGCAAGCAGCACCACCAGCAGGATCATGATGGGCCGACCCGCACCATCGAGATCATCAGTGTACACGAGGAGCTGACGAGGGTTCCAGCCATGGAGAGTCACTTGACTCTTCCGCCCTTGGAGCATTACAACCACTATAACTCCTACAAAACTGCTTATAACCATGTGTCGGCTCTCAGCTCGCTGCATAGTTCAGTGCATGAACCTTTACTAATCCAAGCCAGCTCAAGGGATAACGTGCAGGAGACACAAATTTGACCATGTTGGACGAATTGAACTCTACTAATGCTGTTTAAATTTTGGTTGTGGACACGCTGTCAGAATGAAGATGACAGTGTGCTTTAAGACCTTCAGCAATGTCAGTGAGAGCCAGGGTCTATGTATAATTATTTTAACAAGTGTCTTTACAAATCTTATTTATTTAAAGATATGTGAAGTGACTGAATTATAAAATCACAAGACAAAAACGGTTAATATCTTCTTTTTTCTTTTTCATTTCTACATTTTTAAACTGCGTAAACTGGGGGAATGAATGGTTCACTTTCATGTCTTGGTAGAATTAAGGTCAACTGCTGTGGTTATGAGAGCAATGAGACGAGGTGTTTTTTTTGTTGTTGTTTTTTTTGTTTGTTTTTTGGCATATTACATCCTGTTGCAACTGTGTTTTCATTTTTTGAGACACTGGAAACAAAAACTGGCCACTGAAAACAGCAGACTTAAAATCGCATGGAGCACTTAGATATGAATGGTGGGCCTGATGGATGCAGTGACTCTAGAGAGGGGTATAAATGGTTACATTTCCCCATGAAAAATCCTGTTATTGAACAAAAAAGGGAAAGCTTTCATTATCAGGGCCTGGATTATTCTGCAAATGCAGCTTGTGGGATAGGAAACATTTCTAGTATTTAGTGCAATTTATAAGCCATTGTTCTGAACACACATCAATTAACTTCAATTCAGAAAATAGGTTTGCATAATTGCCTTGAATTACAGTCCTCAAGCCAAGATAGTATCTAAAATGTGGCATTGGAAATTCAGCATTTTGGGTTCAGCATTCTTTCACTAAATCTATTTTTCACTAAATCTATTTATAACTGTAAATGTCAACAACCTATGAATATAAAAATGAATTCTATACATCAGTGAACATCAGGCTAGTACAATTATAGCCCCTTTAGTGGCTGAGGACAAGGGAATATGATTTCTAAGATTGTTTGCTGTGCGAGTATCAGACAAAAATGGCTATGAGGAAATAAATAATGAAATAAAAAACAGCCAGCTAATGTCACTATGGAAACCAATGACCTAATGCAAAAAAAAAAAAAAAACACACACTGG